GGGGGGGTTTCGAGGTACTAAAATCAAACCAATCGCCCTTCACAAATATACACAGGCAGGATAAAATAGTTCAATATTCAGAACATCATATGAAAATAACAGTTTGTTATTGGTAATATTGGTAACAGTTCCCAATATGCATCTCAGCAACCCAAACGGGAAGCAAAATAACAAGATCTAACATAACAAGGAAAAAAGTCTTCCGCCTTAAGCAAATGCCACTATTTTCAGAATTCTAACATAGACCTAATCATAGATGAAAATCAAAATGAAGCTGGGGCCAATACAAATGGTTCACTGAAAGATAAAGGATTCCAGGCACCTCCAAGAAAATATTCTCCAACATAAGCTGCAAAATGATCGTGGTGATAAGGTAATAATGTAATGTCTAAACTAGACCAAAAAATCATGTATTTTTCACATAGCACTGCCAATTCAGAAAACAAGTAGGCTACACTGCAGTGCAAATACTCAATAAATATGGAAGAAAACACTGAAGGGGCAAATCATAACTCTGCCACAACCATTACAATCTATGAAAAAAAATATATGACATAAATAAAACGTCAAACTTAGGGGAATGGATAGCATAAAAGGTAGAAAAATAATATCAAGAAGCAACAACTATAAATCTGAAACAAAAATATGCATATTTTCAACAGCAAAGAATTTCCGATACAGAAATTAACAAATTGTAAGTTATAATGAACAAACTATAAGCCATTTCTAAAAAACACAGATCACTGAAGACTTCACTGAAGTCGGAACTAACAGTAGAAATTTATAGTGCAGTAATATATATATAGTTTTCAATGGGATGTCGCACAGTGACACAAGATATCAAAGTGACAAAGGAGAAATGGCCTACAAGGCCATGCAATAGGCTCCGCTCCCAATGATTCCTGTCTGGCGTGTGGCACAAGTCCTGACGACCTGCAGCACGCACTGTACGAGTGCCCGCAGGGGGAAGCACATCAAGGCCCACTTAAGGAGAACAATGCGAGACCGGGCCCAGATGTACTCTGGACGAGGCCACAAGAGGTTGCCTCTTATCTGTTTGCCTGCTGCCCTCCTAACGGAGGCCAGCCAGAGGAAGGAAGGAAGGAAATGGCTTACAAAGAGTACCGGCTACAATTATACTGGAAATACTGAGCTCATTTATAAGATATGTTTTAACCTGGAATATGAAAGTAACAATATGGTTCTTGAGTCAATATATTTTTCTTTTTTGCACCTAGATACATCTTCCTGTCAATTTACAACTTATTTCTACACAAACACAGCGGTCCTCATTCAGACAGTGCTGCGAGGAGGTGTATGAGGACAGAAAAAAATGTTGAGTCGATCAAGACAATGAAGATAACGACAGCAAACCCTGAGAGACAAACAATGAGAGCATTCTCTGAAATATCTAGAGCTTTCTGTTATTGTAGTGTAGTAAATGATTCAGGTCGCCATCGACACAATTTAGATACTGTAATTTAGACAGCAGCCTACTTCAATGCTGACGGTCAGATTCGACCATAGCTTGAGTTTGAAACATGCCAACGGGACGCCGAAGATGCTTGATAAAATATCTTCCCTACAAGAAAATTGAACTCCCCAACTTTCACACGCAAAGCAAAATGTCATACCATTACACCACAGACACCCTTGAAAAGATTTTTATTTGTTACAATGTTCATGAAAAAAAAAATACAGTAGTCTTCACCTAAGATCCCACTGCTTAAGATCCCGTTATTTTAAGAAAACTGAATTTTTACTCTACAAAAGTCACCCCTAAGATCCTGCTCTGATTCACTCAGAAGGTCTACATTCGGGTAAGATTCCACATTTCAGATCATGATTTATAGAACAAAAACTCAGGCGGTACAGCCAATCAACGAAGAGTGAAAAGTTGAGATCATTGAACTACCCATGGCATCAAAGATCAGTTATTCTCTTGAATGTGATCACATTTAGCGTTGAAAAACTCAATGAAACGGTACAATGTTTGCCCCAATCAGGATCACACCGAGGTGTGAACTGACTGATGTGTTTGTTTTCCTCAAAATCGCACTTGCATCTGAGCTCTCCACCTAAACTTACATCACTCGCTGGGTGGGTAGGGCCTACAAGTTCGCTTCAGGCGGGACCACATCTAACTGTAAACTCTTCCGTGGCCATTGCAGCAGTTTTCTCTCTTCCCAAAGTTGCGAGACAGACTGAATTTTAACCTGCGTGGTCACAACGTACAGGTGCACAACAACAAAGACAGGGGAACTGGGTAAGAGATGGATGGCTATAAATTTCTGACAGGAGGAGGGGGGGGGGGGCAACTGGATAAGCGTAGATCTTGAGATTCACTATAGGATAAGTGTACACGGAATGCCTCATGCCACTGTCATTGGTCACAAAGGCTGACCACTCTTTGCTTGCCATTGTTATAAACCCACCCAGGGATCAAGTCGGTTTATTTTAAAGTGGAGGGAGGCTATTTTACTGGTTGTGGGCCTTTACATGGGTCACCGTAGATTCTTCCCTTGGTCCATCGGTAAAGATTCCGCATTTTCTTTGTTCCCTAACACCGGGATCTTAGGCGGAGACTACTGTATTATTAAATAGCATTAATCTTTCGTTGTGCAGCTAAGAGAAACAAAATGATTAATTTCTGAATTACTTTCAGATGCATACTACTTTTTATTATCATTTACTACTTTAAAATGTCATATAGTACACTACCAGAGTTCTTTTTTTTAGTCTAAGTAAGAGTTTTTCTGCACGTGCAACACAATAAGGTCATATAAGTGCCGAAGAATAGATGTGTCACAAGAGAGTAACATACACAAAAAAGAAGGAGAGGTAAGGACAATAGATGTTTGATAGGAAAGAAAGAGCAAACCATACCACAGCACCCGCAAACCACCCACTGCCAGAGCTCGGCTGAGATAAGTTTCAAATTGTATTATTCCTACTCCAAAGAAATCTGGGGATACATATATACAATGCAAGACCACGTACATTAAACATGAAGATTATACAGCGGTTTTAGTATCTGATTAGCAACAAACAGCTCCTCTAAGAAGGCATCTGCATAAACAATGAGTGTAATGCTCACACTTTAAAAAACATACGATACCTCTTCAAAAGAAACCTAAACATCTCAACCATTGGGTACTGAACAATCACAAGCTATATTAAGTAAAACAACTTACAAAAGTCAGGCCTCCAAAGATCACATTTACAGTATAGAATAAACAAAAGGATGGCGATATGCTCTTAAGGTGTACCTTGTTTCTAGTTCAACAAACAGACAAAACAAAACTTCTGATTTAAAAGAGAGACGACACAAATGTTAGCCCACGGTATATTTCTACTATTTATACCATATGCTAACTCTCAATTTTTACTGAGCACCCATAAGATCGGCTTCGATAATGGTTATAGAACACCAACAAAAAATTAACAATTTTTTTTCAATTACACAAATAGAACATAAAAACTATCTGAAAGCTGGAAGGATTAGCAATCACGAATCTTTCTACATCAGCGGCTGTCACAGAGCACACACTATCGAGACGACAGCCAGCATTATCCATGAGTTAGCACTATCCACAACACAACACTTGCCCGTCTTAGGAGAGAGGCTCCTGGGAGTTAGACAGGAAGCTCCGCACACGGGAAAAATTTAGCGGGGGGAACGTCCGCTTATTCAAATCAAAGTTGTTAACTGTCTCATGACCTGTGGACCTAAAAAAAACGAAATAAAGTTTAATAAAAATTGGTCAACCCTGTTCTTTTTTAATAATAATATAGATTGCAAAGGGCATACAGCTTGCTGTTGAGCGGGAATTTGCACTATACAAATGCTATTTATTTTTCTTATTATTATCGTTAAATTTTACTACTTAGCATCAAGCCCAACCTGCACATTCTTTCCTCAGTACACAATAATCTGGTTCAAAAGTTCTCGGGAAATGAACACTTTGTCGATAAACACTAGCAACACTCAGTCTAACAGTCCTTGCAACAAATGAAAAATCTAAAATAATCATACGTCTCTTTTTTGATTGGCAATAGAGAGTGAGTCAAAAGAGGAAAATATGGAAACTTTCAACTGCCCTTAAAACTGCACATTTCCCCAAGGAAGCCAGGAACATTGTCCTCATTCTCTAAAGCCCTGCAAAAAAGTATCTAAGGATTTGAAGAAGTGGCAAAACAACGTGCCCTTCAATTAAATGACAGAAGAGGCTTTCAACTAAAACCAAACTCAAAGCCATGTGAAAACCCATGAGAGAGCCCTACTTACTTATAGTATGTCCGCACTGTGTAGCTTCCCCAAACCAGCTGTACGTGGGAGCGTCTTCCAACAGATGCAACGTCAAATTCCTGAAAGGGCAAAAAAGATGAATAGTTGTAAATGTTAAAGGTATAATAATAACAATAATAATAATAATAATAATAATAATAATAGCTTGGCCGTCAATGTGTGATGATGACCAATATATCTACAGAGGAGAATATTTCTCCAGCGAAATAGAACTGGAAAAATTAAAGGTTAAGATGGCTCATGGTTTATACTGTGGCCGATGAGACCAATTCTGGCAGAGAAAAGTTTCAGAGGCCTAGGAGAGAACAGGAATGTGGTCAAAAGAAACCAGCTCTACATGCATACCATGGCGTTGGTGGCCTAGTGGTTAGGCTCTCGGACTCGCAACCGTAAGGTCGTGGGTTCGAATCCCGTCAGGGGCCCGACGTTGTGTCCTTGGGAAAGGCACTTTGCACAAATTTTCCTCACTTCACCCAAGTGGAAATGGGTACCCGGCTATAGACAGTGAACGATCTTGTCAGTTCGATAGTGTTTGAGCGCGTAAAATCCGCAGCTTGCACTGTAAGCTTCCGCGGAAGCCGAGAATGTTTCAGAGTGTTCTCAAACGGTCTGCTGGGGGTAGTAATAGTTGTAAAGCGCATAGAGCATGCTCTTGAGCATGGATAGGCGTATATAAATGCAATTATTATTATTATTATTATTATTATTATTATTATTATTATAATTATTATAATGAAGCTACTCGTATTTAGTGAAAATAACTGAGAATTTATGATGTTGTATTTGCAAACAAGAAAATAGATAATAGGCATAAAACAGGAGTTACACACAAAACAAAGGCCGAGAATAACAACTTCATTGAATTAACCAAAATAATGAGGGGGGGGAGGAAGGAAAAACAGCATCCCTTATACATCACAACTGTTATTTATATTTCCTATGAACTAGAGCAAGAGCAGTCCGAAAAAATCAGTTCTCTGAAAGCTTCACGACAAAAATTTTATACAATGTTATATCCATATTTGAATATCTCTGTTTTCATAATCTGCGTATGGGGCTCTCATGGTCTAGAGGTTATGGTGTTCGCCTCTCATTCAAAGGTCGCGGTTTCAAATACGAGTAGCGACTAAAAAAATTTATTCTCTAAAATTGTCTCCTTTCTCCTCCTTTCCTGTTCTCTAGCAATGTCCTACCGTCTGTTTTCGTCTCCACTTTCAGTGCCCACTCCCTCACCTCCTTTGCCCCCTCCTCTGAGCTCCTGACTCTTTCTGCAGACTTTCTACTGCTACTCCTTGGCTCCTTCTTACTGCTGTCTTTCAGCCACACCCCTGATCTTCTGGTAGGAAAGATCTACACCTAGCCTTCTCGGACAAGGACAAAGATCCCTCGGTGGTCTAAAATCGATAAGAGTAGGCTTCTGCCGCCACTCGGGCATGTCCCACGCACTCATATGACCTTACACAGTAGCGAGCACCGTAAAACATGTGCCAAAAAAAACCCAACTTACCACGCTGTACGTCACCTCCGCATCATTTTGATTGGCTGCCTGCCGATGACGCTTGTACCTGTACGTTGCCACTTCGGCTGTCTTCACCCTCTTCAGCACACACGTCACCTGCAGCAACAACAGTGCATTACAATAAAGATTCTGTAAAACAAGACGGTTGACTCCTCTCTTTGAACCAATTAAAAAAGTGTCCTCAAAATCCGGTGGTCCCCTCTTCGAAAAAGCCCCCACTTTGCGAACAGAGTTACCCTACTTGTGTGGAAAAAAATCAAAGTGAAACAAACAAGTTTTTGTATAAATTATAATTAAAATTTCGGAACAACGCCTTTTTAAATGGTTACACTGACAAAAATCCTCTTCAGGTGGAAGGGCGACTGTTTTCTTAGTTTAATTTGGCTTTAGAACGAGAGGCGAGAGGTCATTAAAATAGAATAAACCCAAAACTCCACACTGAGCGAACCGGAACAGCTGATGCTATTCCTATTCTTCTTCTGGAGAAACGAAAGAGAGCTTCAAAACAAAGACTGCAGCGACATCTGAACCAATGCGCGGACATCCGCGGACTCTTTTTTTGGCCGAGTGAACCATCTTGTTAAGTATGATCTTTGGTTACAGTAAAACTTTGTTTTAAGTGAGCTTAACAGTTTGAGCCCTTGCCACCTGTACACTGCCGTATACTGACAAAAAACTCACTTTGGTGCCAAAATGTTTTATTTGCTTAATCGAAAGCCTGATCAGTTACCACCCTACTTGTCTGCAAAAGTCAAGTTGAAACTGAGATTAGTTTTTCAATAAATGACAATTTAAATTTCAGAATGACTCTTTTTAAATGATTACGCTGATTAAAAAAACTTTTTCTCAAAACTGCTCTGAATTTTTTTTAAAGGCAGTTTGTCAACTTACGGCAGTACACCCGTGCCACTTAAAATTACCCGTATGCCTAGCCACCAGTACACCGGTGAGAAAAACCCCATACTATCCCCAAACCAACTGAGAAATATAAATAAAAGCGCTTTCAGGCCACCTGGCAAGTTGTGCTGGTTTAGAAACAAAAGTGAAGGCACCTAAAGACATTGGTCGCAATAACCTAAAACCTTCAATTAAGTTAATAAAACGACATTTTTGCTTTATACCTAAACCAAGACGTTCTTCTGAAAAGTCTCAGTCACTGACCTTGAACTCGGAGATCTTGTAGTGACCTTTCAGGATTCCTGCGGCCTTGGAGTTGCGGTGTCGCAGTTTTGGCAGAGTTTGGAGTGGGTCCTCCGGGCTCACCAGCATCAGCACATGTCCTGGACAAGTCAGGTTCATTGGAAATTTTAATTGTTGTGAACTGCTTGTGCTACTCACACACACACACACACACACATACACACACACACACACAGATACACATAGACAAATGTACAGACACACACATACACACATACACATGAATACACATACACAAACACACACTAAAGCATGTGCACGCACATACACATCCACGTCTACACACTAACACACACACACACACACACGCACATACACACACACACATGAATATACATACATATATACACACACATCTACACACTCACAAACACACACACATACACACACACACACATACACACACGCACGCACACACACACACACACACACACACACAAAGACACACACTGATACACACAAACACACCGTTCCTCAAGACAGGGCAAAATTCCTTCACCAAACAACAGTACTCTTCTGCTGTGTTAGCTCAACCTTTTCATTACCTAAAGATATTTTAGAGCAGACCAGGGAACCCTCACATGCATCCTAACAAACATCATTGATGCTACAGTTCGTTTCAGTAGAGGTTTTACGGCACATGCAACTGCATAAGGTCATATAAGAGCCGAAGATTAGAGGTGTTACAAGAGAGTAACAAACACAAAAAAGAAGGAGGAATGATAAGGACAATAGATGTTTGATAGGAAAGAAGGAGCAAACCACACCAGGGCACCTGCCACCCACCCACATTGATGCAACAGTATTTAAAGTAATATTCAGAATTTTCAGAATAGCACTTTAGTGGTATGGTATCAATGTCATCATTTCATCCATATTCGGACCAACGTTGTGATGGTTTAACAGACACCACGAGCAGCATTCAGCTTAAAAAAAAAAAACTACCTAAATATCCGCTTACTACCATATCAGTGCAAGAGACTTCCAACAGATCTTTTCATTCCACGACATACATTGATAATATTCTTACCCCCCAAAAATGGACATCACTGGAGTATCTTCTGAGCTCAATGTGAAATGGTATAGGTTTAATGCCTTTATCAACACTATTAGGCTATCTAAGAGGCGGGACCTCCGAGATTAACATCCATCTGCAAAAGGACCAAGCCAAATAGGAATTTCTTGTAAAAAGCCTTTCAAGGGACATAACATTGGACCAAGCTGAGGCTCCCACCCAAGAACCTCCAGTCTCACGATTACTGGCTATGCCATCAATGCCATCTTCTAAGCTCAGAAAGGAAAGGAAAGCACGGGTCAGCAAAACTACTAGATGTAAATAGGCCTAGTCTTAGTGTCATCTGACATTACAAAGTGGAAAAAGAGTTGTTTTAAACCCTCAAATGTTCACAGTTGACAAGGCAAAACCATTAACATATGCTCTGATTTACCAAAGAGTATAACACCTCTTTCTCAAATTACAATCACTTACTTGGAGAAACAGGAGAGTCAGATGTACTTTTCCCCCAAGTGTTTTGTAGACAAGGCAAACTATGCATTGTACAAAATGAAAATGTATTCACAAATTCTCAGAAAAAGCAGGTACGTACCATCTGGGAAAAAGCGGACGTATCTGTAATACTCCACGAGGTGAAAGGGACGGTAGAACTGATCCATGCCTTGCTCTCCCTGACGTATGTACGTCACACGGCTGATGTAACAACCTGGGTCAGAGGCACACACGACACACAGATGAGTAATAAAGTTTAAAAAAGAAAGAACACAAACATCAAGTCATAGAGATGAGCTGAACAAAATTTTTCAAATGCAAGCATCAGGATATACAGATGGGTTAAAAAGGAGGCAAACAAGTATCTATCAAATTATCATCTTCTTTAATTTCATTAGAGTATTAAAACTCATATTCAAAAAAGCAACAAAAAACAAACTTCCCAACCTGGGAAACCTGAATCTTGTCTCCTGATCTCAAAGAGAAGCAGTATCTTTCACATTATCTACTTATTATAGCTTATTGACTTCCATCCTACCTCGATTAAAATGAGATAAATTCAAATCTGTTTGTAATCTTCCTAGATCTTTCCATACGGATCTAAAAGTTGAATGACAACAGAATCTAAAAGCCCATTCATAAAGGTCACTGCAAACCAAGACTCCAACAGGTATTGTTTGATGTTAACCTAAAGCGGGTAAAAAAAACAATCGGGACTTTACAGCATACACTTAAAACAATGAAAAGTTGACCTATTTTCCCACAGTACCACACTTTAACGTATGCCAAAGAAATGCAGTCCAACAGAAAGGAGAGCACTTTTTGAGACTTATGGGAAGATGTCTAGACAGTCAGGGGATGATATCTCCAAGCTTACATTGAAATGTAGGGGCAGGGTGGTGTTGCTGTCTCAAAATTAGCAATTTGTATGCTAGGTTACTGTAAATCATTTATTTTAGTAATCCTGCGTATGCAACCAAAGAGTGGTTGTTAATATAGGGTCCAAATAGAAACTTTATTACTAGATCAATACTTTTTAATAAAAATATATTCGTTAAGTCGTGGGCCGGCAGAAGTGCCACACAAAGTTAACTATGTAACCTCGTTGGCATAGGATAATTAATAAATCAGCTAGATTTTTTAAATTGCCGACAGATGAAAGTGAACAATCTACAGAGGTCAATCGAGAGCACTAAACTCATTTGAAAAGAGCAAAGAACAAACCATCAAACAACATATGAGGCCTCTCAATCAGCATTCTCCTCCAGGAGGCGCCGTATTTCTTAGGACTGCCGAGATTTACACCCCAAATTCTGAAACACAATTAAAAAATGTACACATATGTTACAGAAAGCTTTAAAATTCTTTAGCATAGTCCATTTTGAAACATACTGAGCAAAAAAATTCCTATACATCCTATTAGGTCAATAAGGTGGTCCTACAAATTATGACTCAATGACTAAAGACGATTAAACCTGACTTCACAAGTTATAAAAAGCCCAAATTTGCCCTTTTATACCTCAATACACCAGCCATAAGAATCATGTAGAAAGAAATATAGCCTTTGCAGTGTTCAAGGTTGGAATTATTTCTCTAAACTTAAATTTATTTTTTTTTACTTCTGAAAAGGAACTGTATTAATATTTCAGCAAAGAAATCTAAAGGAACAATTCCATCCATAACCTAGTTTTTGAATAAGTCGACCTGAATTTTTGTTGTGTGTGGCAGCTTCAGAAAACTAAAAATAGTGAAACTTTATATGCATAGATGAATGTATACAAGTTCCAAGGACTGCGACACTTCTGACAAATTAACTTAAAACATACATGCATACTGCTGTCTTCTAAATGCAGAACAAGGAAACAGCATTACAAATGAATAAAACTTTGTTTTAAGAAATTAAATCTGCCAAGTGACAGCAGACTCACTTTTCACACGCCAGTTTCCAGACGGTCTCGTCTCTGGCACACATATAGAAACCCCGACACACCTGAGAACAACACATTCGCACAGTTATACAAGACGAAGTAATAAAACAAGAGTCATCAATCAAGGTTTACAATGTTGTTGTTTTTTGTGAGAGTAAAAAAAATAAAAGCAAATCAACACAATTATGGTCATTTAGTACTGGGAAAAAGCAGGACAAACAGACTGAAGCAACAATGGGAAAGTAAAGAAGTAGGACCTACCAGCGGCCCCGTCCAACAGCCCGCAGTTTAGAATTTTGACCAGAACAAACATGTCCAAAAAACCTATATGTCGGTAAAAATCAAATAACATTTTAGCAAACACATAAAACACATACTTGCACTGGCATGCATCTGTGCATTTCCACTCAGTCGTGTAACCCCAAAGGAACAAAACAAAGTACAGGAATTGTATACTTGCACATGTTCACACTTATGTTGTTTGCACCAGTGTAAGAAGAAAAAAAACCCAGCAAAAAAGGATAGGTTTCCTTGATTGCTCAGGTTCAATCAAACACCTTCAAAAACTAAAAAGAAAATGTAAAATAATGAACTCCACTATCTAAATATAATCTCGGCCTACATAAAGAATAATTGAAAAACCAGTGACTCAACTCTGGAGTATCTTATTAAGGTCCATCGTGCCAGCTCAACACCTTTTATGCCCATTAAAGAACAAATTACTGTGAGGATATTACTGAAAAATGATTACGGGCAGAAAAAATTTTAATTTTCAGTTTCCACAGACTCTCAAGCTAGAAAAATAACATAACTTTGGAGGCAGTTTTCCAGCTAATTTTACCTCTGAAACCAGGCAACCCGAACAACACAGATGGATATTTTTTTAATCAAAAGTAAGGGAAATGGACAGGCTTTAAGATGATACCAATAACTCTATACGTCCCAAAATTGACGACCCCTGATTCCACCGCGTTGTGACACAAACACACACATACACACACACACACACACACACACACACACACACACACACACACACACAAACAAACAAATATGCATAAACTCTCAATATGCTCATGTATTTCTATATACACATAAACTTGCAATTTGCTCATGTATTCCTATACACATAAACTCACAATATGCTAATGTATTCCAATACACAAAAACTCACAATTTGCTCATGTATTTAT